GATTTGCTGTTGATAAGGGAGCAAGATACAACTTCCTGCCTCCAATCTGGCCCCTTTTCAGTCTACTTCTGATATAATCATGAAATAATTTCCTAGACTGCAAATCTGATCACGTGATTCCTGTTGCACTTAGGATAATAACTGGCATCCTTCATAAGACCTCCAAGGCTTAATATGCCCTGGCCCTGCCTGGCCTTTGATCACTATCTCCTTCTTTCTCTAGGTTCCACCCACACTATACCTTCTCTAGTTCTTCAATCATATTGTGATTTCTGCCACATCAGGCCTCAACACATAAGTTCCCTCTGCATGGAACACTCTTCCTCCTTCTTCACTACTGATTCATTAGGCTCAGGCAGAATGCCATTACCCTGACTGTAGACTAGGTTAGTACTTCTTTGCCCTCTCTATGTGCTCGCCATCACTTTTTATCGAGTTACCTGCCTAGTAAACTGTCTTCCTTTCTAGACTAAGCCCCAAGAGGGTAGGAATGTCTGTATCAGTCACTCATACATTCCACACCTCAGCATAATACCCAGATTCTTAGTTAGGAAGGCTAAGCTGCTGGAACAAAGAAACTTCAAAGTCTGAGCATTTTACAGAACGTGAAGTTCTTTTTTCTTTGTCATGTGACAGTCCAGAGTGGGAGTTCCAGGTCTGTGGCAGTTTTACTCCATGCAATCACGTGAGACACAGGCTGATCAGAATGTGGCTTCTAAAGTCTTCCTGATAATTTCCCCCTTAGTCAGCTTGAATGGGATACAGCATGGAGGAGCTTACACAGAACGTGTTCACTTCTTTTCTGCTCCATTTCCATCTGGAGGAACTCAGTCATGTAGCTGCAAAACTACAAGGAAAATTGAAATATGTGGGCTAGCTGGCCAGCCATGTGCAGGCATTTCTTTACTATGTGGCAAGCAGAAAAAGGATTTTGGAAGACAGATGACTGCTCCACTAAAATGTCAGAGAATATTTATCAAAATAAATAATTTTTAAATTGTTGTATTGCTCTGCTTTAATGCTGATGTCAATACCCCAACTCCCAGAATCATTATATTTCTTTCATTTTTTTGGCAGCATTTCAATACCCAAACAACTGGCTTCAGTGAAAGGTAAGGCACAGATGACTGAGATGTACATTTTTATCCTCTACCAAGATGGCATGCCAAGTGTTAAAAAAATAATAGGATATCAGAGAATGCCAGGGATGTAAGGGAACTTTTGAATAAATCATCAAACATTCACGATGTTCTTTTTAAAGATCTGGGAACTGAGGTCCAGGAGTAGGAATTAACTTGCCTAAACTTATACAGCTCATTAAAGACAGAGTTGAGATGAGACCATGGATCCCCTGGTTCCTAATTCAGTGTTCTCCCCACCATATCCAGTTGCATCTCCAAGGGCAGCATCCTCAGAATGTCTAGAGCGGGACCATGAGTATCTGACTCATGAATGTTGAGTGGACCTCAGGATGCAATCAGCCCCCAATTGCCTCTGTTGACTGAGTGGAAACAATGTGGCCACCTCGCAAAGTGTAAATATTTGCCCTGGAATTCAATTTCATAGGTAAAATAACTTTAGGACTAACAACATTGCCATGGAAATAACAACATAAGAAAAAATGCTCGTACACTTGGAACATTATTTTATTAAAAACTATAAGGCTTCACATGTTTACAGAGTAACAAGCACAGTTGTACGTTACTATATTACAGGTTTTTGCCTCCTAGATGACTAGCCAAACTCTCCAAAAGAGACTCTGTAATTTTATTTAAATATATCTCCATCTTTATGGAACCGTTTCTATATTATTACAACACAGCAGACTCGTGATTTATGTTTCAATAATTTACACAATTTCAGGCACTTTCGAGAAATTGTGAGAATTGTCCCATCACGTGTCTAACATAACTTCTCCTTCTGGGAGGTTGAGATTGTAACTCTGTCAACCCCACTGCACACCCACCCCTGCCCACATACACAACATTCCTAGCACCAGACTCCTTAAATCAGACCACTGAACCACATTTATTCCTATGCCTTAAAAAAATCACAGGATACACATGACTCATCTCCCCAGAATGTAGTTTATTTAGTGGGAAATAATTCTAGATGTTATTCATCGAAATCAGACATGGATAGGTCGTGACATAGAAGTCAATACAAACCCACATTTTCTCTGCTGGCTACTTGGGCCTACGCCCCTGATCTCATGAGGCTTAGGAATGCAGGGTGAGTACATATTTGCCTCTAACACCCAGGGTATTTTTGCTGTGGGAAAATTTGAGAAGTACTGGGAAAATTACTGGCCTAAAGAGTAGACAGCAGGGACCTAGTTTTTAGTTCTGATATATACTACCTATGTGAGCTTGAGCAAACAACTTCTCTCCTGTAGGTCTTCACATCATCCACAAAAATAACAAATATCAGGACAAGTTCTAAAATGAGAAGATTCTTTCATCCTGCTGTATTGAGACTGGTATTTCCATGACACCATTCAATTTGAATTGACAGTGAAGGAATTAGGAGATTGAGTGTTCCACGTTCCAGAGCAGGTGAAGAGGAAGAGGCAGAGAATTGTTCTGAAGTTCAAATCAGCCCAGTT